CTGTAGCCGCAGCTCAAACTGTATCTGTATCTGTATCTGTATCTCTCTGCAGCTTAACCGGGTCCAGTTGCGTGTTGGCTATTATGAATAAACATGTGCCACATGTAAGCTGTCGCTGCCGCTGTCGCAGTCGCCGTCGCCGTCGCTTGGCGCATTTATTTAATATTGGCCAGCTTTGGAAATTGTAATAGAAATGAAAATGAAAACGAAAACTAAAGCGAAAAGAGTGCAAAGTATTTTTCATTTTACAATTAGCCAAGGAAACACGCTTCAGCCGAAACTCGTATTTCCTGGCCTAGTGTCTGCCAGTTGTCTGGACAGGCTCTTGCCAGAGCGCTCAGTCGGCCTGCCAGAAGATGCGCCTTGATTATTGGCTTGCCACTCGTTATGCTGTGAGTTATGACAATAATTTCATGTTAATAACTTTCAAGGAAAAACCTGAACTTTGTCTGTGAACTCAGCTGGCCACAACTAAAAATCATATTTCTTCTGGTTAACTGGTTACGCCATTGGCCACAATTTCAAGTGATAAAAAAAGTAAAGAAAAAAGAAGTAAAATATGCTGACTAAAAATTGTGTAATGAGCCGCGCTCGCAGAAAACTCTAGATTTGCAATGGGGCGTATGCGTAATATGGACCATGGCCAATTGAAAGCGCAAGCTTAATTAGACAATTTCTCTATTATGGATGCTGCCTTTCACAAACAACTCAGAAAACACTCAACGCTCAATTATGGCCGTGGCTAATCAAAAGGGCATTGATTTTTATGAACTGTGAACAGGCGGCAACAAGGCGAGCTGGAACTGGCGCTGTTTCTGTAGTTGGAGTTTCTGTAGTTGGAGTTGGGCTTGACTATCTAATGCTAGAGATGATGGGCCTGGCTCTTGCGAGTGGCCAATTGTTTGCCCTGGTGATGGGCGCGATGGCGTCACTTGTACAAATCTTTGCATTTAGCCAAAACGTGCTGCACTGTAAACTGTATCCAGACTTTGGCCAACATGATGCAAGAGCGAAAGAAAGTTGATCGTTGGCCTGGCTCATAAGCGGGGCAATCACCGGCTAACAAAAACTAGGTTTGGGCTTTGCCTTCAAGTCCGGGTCCGGCTGGGGGTTTGTGCCTTTGCTGACGGGTCAAGCCTATGTGGTGTGGCCCGTCACGTTAGGGCCAAAGCGAATTGCAACTAAAGCAGCAACAGCAGTGGAAGCAGCAGTGGCAGCAGCCTCGAGTCTTGGCCATAATGTGCATATTGCAGTTTTTTTTATCGCTTCTCGCTTTTGACAATAAATTGCCTTGGCGGTGGCTTTGCCCGCGTTACCTTTAACGAAGTGTGAAAGATGTCGGCTCTGATTCGATTCGATTGCGCCACTGTGGCATGCACCAGCAGCAGCAGCAGCAGCACACGCTGCAAGCTCTTTTTGTGTTGCGCCTCTCAGCACCGTGAAGATGTAGTTAACAACGTGACTATATAATCAGCATCAGTTCGGCGAGGCTAGGAAGTCGCCCAGCTGCTGCTTTATTGCCCACCTCTCAGTGGTCCCAATAGCCGCCAAATGATTTTTGCCAGAGTCGTTTCGTTACGTTTCTAATCAAATTAATTTCGCCAGCTGCACACATGTCTCAGCTCAGATTTGGCTCTTTGGAATTGGGCCTGGCACTGATTTAGCTGCAGCTACTGCTGCGGTTGCATTGCCTGAGCATTGCGCATACGCAAAGTGCGCCCGCCACACAGTCATGATGCAACTGAGGCTCAGCAAAAGGTGACGAGGTTAACCAAGATAAATTTAATATGTTTAAGCAGTTCAGCATGTGTGTAATCTATTTTATCTCAACTGTTTGTTCTTTTGTTGTTGTAATCAATGTGATGTCGGCTTTGTTTGTTGATTTGTTATTTATAGCTTTAAAGTTTTTTATTCATTTTTGCTGTTTTCTTATATGAATAATTTAATTTTTTATTGTTGATTTTATATATATATTCTCGATTTTCTACTTTTTTATCTTATCTATTTTTTTTGCTTGCATCGCATATAATATTTTTCTAATTTCTTTCAGTGTAATATAAAGGAAATAAATTATTGACTTATGGAAAACAAATTGAAACAAATTTGTTGCTTTTGCTCGTATATTTTATTTGTTATTTATTTGTAGTTTATTTTATTTATTTTTTACTTTTTATAGTATATTTTATTTTAATTTTTGTTTTATTCTAAATTATTTTTAATATTATTTTTGTTTTCTTATATATTTTACTTCGGACATTATTTTTGATTTTAGTTTTATAATATTATTTTATTTTCTTCTTTAAATTATTTTTTATTTTATTTTATTTTATTACTTTTTTATTATTTATGTCATTTTATTTTTTAATTTTGTTTTTTTTTTTATTTTTTTTCAAGCTCTCCAGTTAACTGAATTTTACATTCGTTATGCATATGTATTTCCTGACATCTCTAGCTGTCTTTCATCTTAACTTCTTCTTCTTCATAAGCTTTTTTTTTTTTGAATGTAAATATAATTGGATCTATGCACAATCTACCGTCTGTAGCCGAACCTCATCGTATTAGCTACGCTACTCCCACTATTTCAACACTACGAGTTTTTACTCCCAGCCGTTTGCACATTTTGTACATCGTGCACAACGTCTGCGGGAATCATGTCTATGGCAGCCACAGTCACCTGTAAGACCAGCGCGCTAGCTGTGAGAGGTAAGAGAAGCTGCCCAAGGCTAACTGACTGTCATTGCTTAACGCACTCAACACACAGGTAGACATGCAAACACACTCACACACACTCATAGACAATTATTTATGTGTTTATATAGACACACAGAAGAGGACTTGAGGAAGACTGGAGGAGAGGCGAGAACTAGAGGAAGCGGTGTTTTGCTCCATCAGAACGCACAAGCTGATGTTAATCAGGCTTGAATTGGAGGAAGCACACGCACATATACAAACACAAACCCACCCACACACTCATGCATTCATCAGTTGATTGCATCAGTCGAACGGACCCGCTTTGCTGCTCATTTCTTTCTCACACTCCCAATCAATGCACGTATTCAAAAACAAATATATATATTTATCATTACGATTTAAATTAACAATATTTAATTGACTTCAGTTGGGCAACAAGCGACATTATTTATAAAGAAAAAATCAGCGTTGAGATAAATTTGCGTAATTTTATTGATGGGTAACATTGTTGTTTGTTTCGTTTGTTTCATTCAGGCGATAACATTGATTAATGCGACATCCACTTATTACGCCCATTTGAAATTTTTAATATTTGATTGAAATTATTAATTAAATTTGCATACTGAAATTATTAATTCATTTTTTATACTTATTTCAAAGTAAATAAGCTCTGTCTGCGAAAAATGCTTATCTTATCGATTTTTAATATGTTTGCTAATGTTTTAATATAGCAATTAGCTCATTGCATGAAAGATATTATAAGATATAGATATCTAAAGAGACTGATTTCTAAAGATAAAGATAACTTAAGATACTAATATCTAAAGAGAAAGATAGTGAGAGATAGTGACATCTAAATAGGCTCAGATATCTTAAGACACAGATATCTAAAAGCACACAGATCTATACAGATATCTATATAGATATGTACCTTTAGATATCTTAATATCTTAAGAAACTAAAGATAAATCGAAAGATATGAATACCATCAAAAAGTTGTATATAAGCCAGCTGATTTGAAGCATGTATTTTATTTCATGTAGGTTCTTCACAAAATGTTTTCCAGAAATTCCATTCATTGCCATTCAGAAGCCATGCCGTTAAAAAAGAATACATTAAAGGCATATAATAAGAAATGAATAAGCAAAAAAAACATTTAATTAATATACTTAGAAAAGCTATAAAAAATGATTACACAACAAAAAGCATAAAAACAAGAAAATAATAGTTATTAAGCACAAAAGCTGTTGCTAACGTAGAACACTTAGCAAGAACAGCCCAAGTGCTTAAAATTATTTAAAAAAAAAAAAATATATATATATATATATATATATATATATGTGTATATTTGTATAGACATACCTACCACTTGCTTTGCAATGTATATCAGCGTTAGCAATTAGCTTCAGCCCGTTAAATTGTTGTCAATTTTAACAAATTGTATTTAATTAAGGAGTTTTGTGTAACACAAGCAGAAATCTTATCTCGAAATTTTGTACCCTTAATTATTATAAATGGATGCAGACTATGCTCTGAGATCGTGAAGCGCGCGTAATTAAAAGCTAAGCAAAACCAATTACAAACGAGAAAAAGTCACCCAAAAAGGAAACAAAAGAGAGAGAAAAAAACTGAAACCGAAACTCGTTGACAATGCGATGGAAATTAGCGCTGGTTAATGACTCCAGCAGCCAAAAATACACTGGAAAAAATCAGTGAGCCTTAACCGCCAGTTGGTAATGCACATTGTTGTTCTTGCTTGCGGTCGTTAATGATTTTGTTGCTGCGGCTGATGTGTGGCGCATGTTGACAGCAGCCGCCGTGGTCAGGGTCTGTCTGCCGCTCTGTGATCAACGGCATTTAAATGATGGACCACCAGAAGCTGTTCATACATATTACTAAACGATCGGGCTAATTGCGCTTGCCGCCAGCTATGAAAAGCCGTTCAAGAAAGTACCAATCATCGTTTCAAGCTAACATAACCTGGCCCCGTTATAACTTTGACAGCTAACCGCTAACAGCCAAGTGTGTTTAGAGTGTGTGTGTGTTTTTAGAGTGTAGTGTGTGTATTACTAAGTATTTACCCTTTTGCCACGCGGTGCGCTATTAAGGCACAACTTGACGCCCCGTTGTAGTGCACGCAAGTTCCAAGTTTGTTGCCTGAGTCTTTTGTTTTTTATGTGAGCGAATCGATTCGCATGAAACGTGTTTTTTTTTGTATTCGATTTATTATGTATTTACAAATTTTGGGGCAAGTCTTAACGTATAATTCGCATATATTCACTTTTTATTATTTTTTTTTCGTTTTTTTTTTTCGATTTTTTTTTAAATTTTTTTTATGCATCGCTCAACTTGAGGTCGCGTTCGCTTGCGTCTGGTTGCTGGGTGCCTGCAACTTTTCGAGCAGCTTCTTCAACTTGTTGTGCTTCTTCAGGTAGGCGCTCTTCTCATGTGCCAGCTTGTAATTGGCAAACATAGTGGCCGTCGTCGTCGTTGTTGTTGTTGTTGTTGTTGGTTGTTGCGTTGTTGATGTTTGCGTTGCTGAAGTTGCTGTTGTTGTTGCTGTTGCTGGGCTGCTGCTATTGCTGTTGGGCGCTGCAGTCGTGGAGGAGCTAAGTGTGTCTAGAGGCATTTCGGAGTGCGCCTCCTTCACTGGCGCCTCCTCCGCCTCCTGCCAGTCCAGCGCCTTCTCCTCCACGGGCAGCAGCTGCAACTGCAAAGAGATGATGCATGTGATTATGACATGGACATGGACATGAACGTGGGGACGTGGTACATGAGCATGAAAGCAAATGCGATTGCGATTTGCAACTGTTGGCGAGTGGTGGCGACTGGTGGGTGGGTGATTGTGGCTGTGGTTGTGTATAGGTGTGCAGTGGGAGTACTTTGTACAGCGATTGTGTAAAAAGCATTTACAAAAGTGTCAAAAGCGTTTAGATGTTGTTGTTGCTGTTGTAGTTTTTTTTTTTGGCTTTAATTTGTTGTTGTACACGCAATTTAATAAAACGAACAACGGACTCCTTATAAGTATATGCATATCAGTAGCGCAGATAACGCTTACGATTATCGTATTGTCTTACATAGTTCCATGGCGCATATTTGGCCTTCTCGTAGGCCTTGTATTTCTTGGTCTTCGCATTGTATTTGCCCTGCAGCTTGTTGTTGTTGGGCGCAATCGCAGTATACTTGATGCCCACTCCAGGCACATACTGAGCGGCCAGCGCCGGCACAGTGACAGTGCCAGTTGCTGGTCCCGCTCCTCCATTGCTATAGGTATCCACTAACTGGCCATAGTTGTACTTGGGCGGCTGATTGTTGTAGTTCGGCGGTGCATAGGGGCCAGCGGGTATGACCCAGGTACGCGGCCGAGATGGAGGCGGCAGCACATAGCTGTAAAGAGAGACAACTCATTGAAAAGTGAGCGAGCAACCAAGTCAACGAAGCCGAGCAGTTTCGATTGCTGCTTACACATAAGGCTGCGGGTTGGGCAGATCGTCACTCAGGTCTTCCCAAACAGGCGCCGGTTCGCGGTATGGCCGGCTAGGCGGTGCGGGCGTGGTACGTGGAGGCGGTGGCAGTATTGGACCCGTATTGGTGCCCCAATCCACGCGTATCGCTTGGCTGCACGCGGCGAGGCAGATGACTAGCAGCAGGCAAATGGAAGGCTGCAACAGAAGAAACTTATAAGGTGAATGCATGTGGTAATAATTTGTCAAAAGTAATCGATTGCAAAGCGATTGGCAGCGATTGCGTCGATTGCTTCGTTTAGGCATTTGCCTTGAGAACGTTCGCCCCCAATAGTAATGTGTATGTATGTATGTAGTCACGTATGTATGTGTGTAGAACGACTTGTACCAATTTGCAGAATGTAAAACATTTATTTGCTTGCCAACTCACTTTGCCTTAAAGCTTGCGATGCAATTGCCACATTAACAACAGCTCAGCTAAGCCAATTAAATGCGCTTTATATAGCGATTAGATGCAACCAAAAGCAAAAACAAAAACAAAAATTAAGAAACAAAAATCAAATTTTTGCTCTTGAACTCGATCATAAATAAAGAAAAAAAATTTATAATTACGCGTCTTGCAACAATGTCAAGTGTAAAATTAAATAATAATAAGCGGCACAAATTGTTGTAAGCTTAGTCCCATTGTTTGTTGTTGTTGCCGATGCTGTTGTTGTGTGAAAATTTCTCAAGTTGTTAACACTATTAGGCCTAATGCAGATACTGTTTAAAAGTTCAAAGTCATTGTGTCCCCCCTTATTTGGAGCATGATTTATAGCGATTCGATAAATATTTATATACACAAATAGATAAATATATATAGTCAGCATTTGTTTTGTTAATTGAATTGGTTTGTTTAATAATTGATTTATGTTGATTAATTAGGCTGCATTCAAAGCTTTTTTTTTATTATCTAACATTTTTTATATAGCGTTTATTGCTTTATATAAAAATTGAATGTATGAAAGCTTAAGCTTTGGCTCGGTTTATAACCGTTTATTATTTATTTATGCATTGCCAACATTGTCGCAGGTTCTCTAAGTGTTTTTGCGGCTAATGATCAATTACGAGCCATTAAACATGGAAATCAGTTGCAGGAAAACAAAAAGCTGAACAGCAACAGTTGAAAGGTGCTAAATGCTTATGCTTGGGGCAAAGGTGTTAGCAGCTGGGCTGAGGGGGTTAATCGATTTTACAATACAATTTTCACAATCAACACACGACGCTCTCCTTGGCCAAATTTGCTCGTTGCCAATTTGTCAATCGGCGGCACTTTTGACAATGCGCGCACAAAAAAAATATCGATACTCGTGATTTATCGATGCCACCTGCAACATGCCAATGCACTGCAGTAGCGCTTGTCGGATATGTGTGTGTGTGAGTGTGGGTGAATAACTGTCTGCTGTCTGATCCTCTTTTGTTTTGTTTTTTTTTTCGCTGATGATGAGAATGTGTCGTTGTTGTTTTTGCCATTTGCTTTGCAAATTGAATATGTGTTTACTTGAACAATTGCCAGGCATATGTTAACCAATATGAAGTGATCGTATATTTTATTTATACTTGCAAATCGCAATAAATAAAGTTGACATGCCTGTTGAATTAAGAGTGTGACCATTGCATTCTAATTTAGCAAATCCATTCTTTTCTAACTTGCCAAGACTAACGAACGGCCACTTACTTAACCTATAAATCTGTGCACGGGCTTTAATTGGTTGAAGTGCATAATATTTGTGTAACTCACAAATGAATAAAGTTGTCAGGCGTGTTATAAGCTTATATCGTTTCTTTGTTGGTTAACTAGAAATAACAGCTTGTGTTTATTATGGCTAGCATCGATTCTTTTTCTAAGTTAATTAGTTGGCTTATATATCGATGTTTATTTTTAGGTCAGCCCACAATGAATATCGATTCTTAGTCAATTATTCCTGAAAGCTACCATATACATCGATTCTACTCAAGCTTGCAGCTGAATAACTGCTATAAATCAGTAGTATAAAGGCTACGTTCGATGTCCACGCATATACATATGATTTTTTATTGGCGATATGCATATTATTTGCACAAGGTAACAATAATAACAATAACAAATGCCAATTTCAGCTATGTCGACAATGCGCCGTGTGCATAGCAAATAGGAATTTGTGTATTCAAGTACTGTGATCGATTAACCAAATTCGTAGCACAAGATATGCAAGTAATGTCTGCTTTGAAGTCTCACTTTTTATGGCTCGGTTCATTACCCAGCGATTTAATGTATACGAAGACTGGGTCCATTAGGTTGCGAAATCTGCGATTAAATTAATTTTTATTTGGAAGCTGCTTTCGAGATGTTGTAATGCCGGCTAAATTGTATAAACAGATCATATCAGGTAGGCGCTTTAATTTCCGCTGCATATCAAATTCAATCCGATAATTTAATAAAAAAAGAGATCAAAGCATAAGTCGAAGACGCCAATGAGATAATTTAATGGCGCAGTTGGGCAGCTCCACTCTGCCAAGTCTCCGTTGTTAAGTAGCATGACGGCATCAGAAATATTATGCAACAATAGCCACTCAATTGCGATCAGGGGCTTTGGCTTGTCTACTTATAGCTCTTTGTCACTTCCGACACATAATGACGGTGGCCTTGAACTTGAAATTCACTTAGCTTCACAGATAATTACACTTAGCGAAAAACTAGACAGACTTATTTAAGTGAAATAATTTGAATTTAGATGAATTGCAAAACGGACATTCCGGCAGAGATTTGGACATAAGTAAGAAAGATTCTTGAATTGTTCCTTGTTTTTGTCTTTAACTTCATCGTAATACGTATACGCTACTTGTAGCTTGTCACTCACAGAAATCTTCTTCAACTAAAATTTATTTTATACATTTTCTCAAAGAGCACAAATTATGTATACGTCCCGTGAAGCTTCGTAGGCAAGGTATGTTTTTATATTAACATTAATATCTTCCTCGTTTCGCTAAGTGTATGGCTAAATGTATACGCCATGTGCGCCCTAAGTATTCGCATAGTTTTCTTTGGCAACTCTCACGGAGTTTCTCGCATTTATCATGTTAATTAAATTGCGAGACTTGGGTCGGGATTGTTAGATTTAAATCTGGCTGCTGTGCGTGTGCTGTGGATTGGCAGGCCAATAAAAGGTTTTTCAGAATTACGCTGCGCAATGTGGATATTTTTAAGTGCCCGCCGGTTGAATGAACTCCAATATCGTGCACATGGTTTTTGTGTAAAAAAGGCGTAACAGCATCGCCGGGGATCGCTGTAATTGGACGGCACACCCAACATGGATATCACCTTTTGTGACTCCTCCTACTCTCCCTCAACGGCTTTGGCGTAATGAGCAGGAATGAACCGTGATCGAGCGATTAGGGCGGGCGTTGTTCTAGCCACAAGAGCAACAATAATCGACTAATTAAAAACAATCAATAAACAGAGCTGAACACGTCCATAGCCACAGTCCATTATCATTAAACTTTTGATTAACGCAGTTTAGCAGCGAAATAATCATTTATTATCCTAAAACGATTTGCTCGGCATTCCGCTTAGAGTTTGGCTCAGCTGCAAATTAAGTGCTTAACAAAGCTGCAAATATTTTTACGAAATTTTGTGCAAACGTTTAAGTAGTTTTTTGTATTTTTTTTTTTGGGTCAAGCTTAGATTTAATTTAATGTGGCTAGAGCCACAGAAAAGTGTGCTAGGCGGGGGCGCCAGCTGTCCAGTGTGGTCCAGCGGTCGGGGCAATCTTTTATCTGACATCGAGTGCAACACCGAAGCCCGTTAAGCGCATTGTCTTTTATTGCACAACAACAACGAAAACTGCAACTGCAACAGCAGCAGCAGCAGCAACATTATTAGCAGAAAATAAAAATAAAAATAAAAATTGTTAAACGGATCAAAAAGTAGCCATAATCATTTTTTAAACGCCCTAATTGAAATCATTTATATCTATCATGAGGGCATGGCCTTCTGCTGCTGCTGCTGCTGTTTCTTCACATTTTGAAATTCATGGCATGCGGGCTGGCTTGAATTGCACTTTATTAATTATTGATACATAGAAATATTGTTAAAATTGGCGCTGCATAGAGTTTGGCAAGCATGCGAATGCGGGCCAACATTGCAAAATGATAAATGAATATATTCATAGAAAAAAGCATCAGATGTGGGTGGCTGATGAAAGTCTAGTCGAAAAGGCAGAAATATCAAAGATCAACAATAATGAAAGTTGCAACAGCATCACGAATTGGCTTTAAAATCATTAATCAAATCGCATTCAATATATCAATTCAATATGTAATGAGCCATCGAAAATCATTTCTTCAGGGCATTTCATGATCTTTCGTTCACAGTTTGCAGTTATTGAATTTTTGAATTTTTTTATATTATAATATTTTTCATACTTAAGCTGCATGAGCTCGCAGGGGAAGCCCCTACGCTTTGGGCTTAATGAATTGAAATTGAAGTGAAGTGAAAATAATTGCTTAAATAGGCAATTGAAGCGTACGCAAATCGCAAGATAAAAAGGAGCTTATTATGAGCTGATATTTCAATTATATACTAGCTCTTTATACAATATGATGTACTTCAAGGTAGCATAAGATCTGCATAAAGTACAGGAAATTTGTAAAACTTAAGTTATTTGGGATTCAGTTTCAGCTAAATCAATTTCCTCTAAACAGTGGGATTGCTAAGCATATTTTTGCTAATACTTATTTCCCAAAAGTCTGCCTAGTCATAGCCTCTAATACAACATCAGTTCTTCGAAGACAGCATAAATTATAGGCGCATAGAACAGGAAATGTCAGTTTATACTATAGCTATATGTATATAGCACAGGTACACATTATATCACTTTACCGCGTATAGTTATGCATTGACAAGACAGCTTAATCTCAGGTGGGTGTGCTATCAATGTGTCAAAATTATAAAAAAAATTATTAGCCATAAATTTTGTATTCTACATGTTAACCTTAGCGTACATAGTCATTAAATTTACATCTTAATCGCTTTTTAGCGCAAGAGCTAAATCCGTAAAGAGAAACGCAAAGAAGACATCCGGCAGATCACTGAATGGTCAGACAGACAGTTGGATTGTGTTCTTCAGGCACAGCTGATTCGCTGACGCTCGTTGACTCGCTGACTGGCTGACTTGTGGCTGCCCGACTGTCTGGCTGGCCTTCAGTTGACGCTTGGAGCGTAGCTGACGCTCGATTCGAGAATCACACATACAGAGCCGTAAAT